CTAGGTCACTTGCCTTGGCAGGGCGCTCATCTCTTGGAGGATTTTTGACGAGTGGGTGGTTGTTTGAGAGACGTGCTCTACTGTTGTGCCGGCAATTGTTGACTTGGGGTGGATGATGGGCGAGGGAAGCGGAGCACTATTTCAATAGCTTTTTAGCTAACGTCTGTATGGCACGCCGCTAACTAAGTGCTACGTCAGTGCTGGCAGTTGTCAATGGGGTGGGGGGGGGATTGTGGGTGAGGGACAGTTCGGTAGGTGGGGTGCTCTGTTCTGTTATTATTATTATTAGTAGTAGTAGTAGTAGTAGTAGTAGTAATAGTAATTATTAGATTGCATTAGTAATGTTTAGCATATATATATATATATATATAAAGATCTTTTAGCATATTGTGTAGCATTTGTTTATCGTATGTCTTGTGTAAATCTTATATACTGTTTATTTTTATACTTTATATTTTTGCTATTGTTGGGTGTAGTCTAAGGGAGAGTCCAACTACTCTGCAGAAGAAACTAATTTCAACCGCTTGTATCCACAATCTCATTCTTTCAGTCACTACCCAGAGTTTGTGACCATAGACGTAGACCGACTGGTAAACAGAGAGCTTTGCCTTACAGCTCAGCTCCTTCTTCACCACAACAGACCGGCACGGGGTCCGCAATACTGCAGACGTTGCACCAATCCATCTGTCATTCTCATTCTCCATTCTTCCCTCACTCATGAACAAAACCCCGAGATACTTGAACTCCTCCATTTGAGGCAGAACCTCACCCTCAACCTGAAGAGAGCAATCCACCCTTTTCCGACTGATATGACATATACGTGTGTGTGTGTGTGTGTGTGTGTGTGTGTTTGCATGTGTGTGTGTATCGATAATTTCCACAGCTTGTTGTTCAGTGTGGTGGATCTGCAAACTATTCCACTCCATCCATCACTGCATCCTGTTCAGAGTCTCAGCGACTTCTCTAATCCCATTATAGGTCTGATGTTGTAGCTCAAACAGGGAGGAAATGGCTGCAGTGTTGAAAGCACCCCTGGATCGTGTTTCATTATGGATTTCCTGATGCCATAAACACATCAACCGTCTTAATGTTTTCCCATCAGGCCGTGGTACATTCATTTACCCTGTCCAGCACACTCGCAGCAGGCGAGCGCTGCCGTCTCCTCATGTGTTTGCCTCCTGTTGTCGTCACTCGTGCAGAAATTCAATTACAGCTGAACATGTTTTCTTCTGTCTGCTCTCAGGTGGCTTGGTGATGGGTACAGGCATCGAGTCCTCTTCCCACATTTACGGGCTGTTTCAGCACATCTGTGTGTCATACGAGCTGGTTCTGGCTGATGGCAGTTTAGTGCGCTGCACAGAGGTAAGTACTGAGTGTGTGTTTGTGGATTGTTTAAGTCCTTAGGTCAGTAAAAAGTGCTTTAGTATGACATCTTAATTACTTTGTGATCATAAAACCCAAGGTTTTATGATCACAAAGTAATTGTTGTTTTTTTTTAAGCTGTCCTTCAAAATCAGTTTTACGTTACTGTGTGATTACTGAGTCACCATTTGCACTTTTGTTTTCCTGTTTACATTTTCATTTGTGTTTTTATTGCAATCAGTCTACGTGCAGTAATGTACCTATTTTCTGTGCTTTTAAAAATATTTAACTGAATTTACTATAAAATTCTTCATAGAAATACTTTGAGCTCTCTTCAGTTCCTTCAAAAACTTTTTCTTTGAAATCTACTTCAGCATACTCGCTCTGTTTTTAGCTTCTGATTCCGCATTTAGCTTTTAGCTACTGTTCTGCCACTTGCAGCTTTTAGCTGTGCTTTTGCTGCTCTTAGCAAAAAGCCACATATCTTTTTGGTACCATTCTGCTGCTGTTTTATGTCTAAAGTTTGCAGTTTGCAGGTTTGATGGAGGCTTTTTAGAAAAATTTTAAACATCCTCGGAATAAAGACTTATACAAGTCAGTTCCAAAAGTAAGTCCATTTTAGCCCAAAAGTCATTTCATGGCAACCTCTAACTCAAGTTCTTGAGACCTCATGATATTGACCATTCATTTTTTTTCTGAAGTAATTTAGTTAATCTTCTCACTTGTTCTGCGACAACTTCCAGATTATGTCAGTAAAGATGTGATTTGTTGGCATCCTACATTTAATTTAGTGTTTCTGTTTGTAGTTGTATGGAGCTAATCTCTTAATCTGACAGTCTATATCTTCTTGCTGTCTGAACAAGGCATTAGAGGAGCTTTTGAGACACATCCTTGTGTTACAGAGTGGTTTGTGACATGAGCCTGCTGTATTAAAGTCATAACACGGAGGTCGGGGAGTGAGTCCGTGTTGTGAGGTTTGACAGTCAGACAGGAAGTGGTCTAACATTAGAACTGCAGAATACCTGGTCTATATGCAGTTTATTGTTGTTCAAACAGGAGGAGAACTCGGATCTGTTCCATGCCGTCCCGTGGTCCTGTGGGACTCTGGGCTTCTTGGTCGCAGCCGAGATCAAAATAGTCCCAGCTAAACAGTGGGTGAAGCTGCGCTACGAGCCTGTCAGAGGACTGGAGAATATCTGTCAGCGCTTCGCAGAGGCATCAGAGAACAAGGAGAACACGTTTGTTGAAGGTATCCAGTTTAGCCTGGATTCTGCTGTCATCATGACAGGAACCATGACGGACCACGCAGAGCCCCACAAGGTAACTGAGTGCCTGCAGAGCGCTTATCACATCTTCTTGTTTTTTATGTCTCATCTTACTCTGTTTCTCTTGAACATCAGATTAACAGAATTGGCCTGCACTTCAAACCCTGGTTCTTCAAACACGTGGAGAGCCACCTAACAGGAGACTGTGTTGGAGTGGAATACATCCCTCTGAGGCAGTACTATCACCGACACACACGCAGCATCTTCTGGGAGCTGCAGGTACTGCGAAACACAAATACACATCTACCACCAACTAATCATCTAAGGGCTTGATTTACTAAAATCCCAAATAGTGGCGCTAAATTGTGTGTTCACGTTAACAGATTGTGCACACTGTTTGTGGCTGAATTACACATGACTTACTAAGATTTCAGGCGTAATTGGCAACAGGTGTAAAAGTGGTGGAGATGAGGGGTTTGCCCACTACTGGTTATCAACATGGAAAGTTTGGGCGAGCAGCTCAAGCATAAAATGTACTTTGAAGTGATGGAAGTGGAGGTGTTGGTGGAAGAGGCAAGTAAACATATTACTGAGCTGCAGAAGATAAATCTGAATATAACCAAAAGAAACACGAGGTGGGAGACGATCTGTGAGGAAGTCAATGCTGTGGGTATAACAAGAAGAACACCAGGTGATGTTAAAAGATGGCAAGGTATTTGAAGAAGAAGAAAGGAAACAATGGCTCATAATTAAACTTCAGCAACGTCGTCGTGCGCTGACATGACCCAGATACAAGGAAATGTAGAACTGAAAGGAATTTTGTCAGAGTTGATACGGCATGACTCCGCCTGTGATGCGGCATGACTCCGCCTGTGATGCGG